AAAGTCATTGAGTGATTGCACAGCAATTAAAATACATAATGAACAAAGAAAATAAGTCATTTTTTCATTGCAGCTGTTTTAATTGGATCTTAAAAAAAAAAGAGTTCTATAAAATTGAAAATTCCTTTTGCATTAAAAATTTCTTAGAAAATGTTTTGTCATTTTGTAACAAATTATCTGAAATTTTTTATTTGTTACAAATAAGGAAAATTATAACATTTATCCATTTGTGTTTTTTTATTATCTTTTAAATCATTAAACTTGTGTTAATATAAAATTCAAGTTTATATTTCAAATCTATGATATTCTGTTTACAACGTTAAAGTACCTTGTAAGTGATCACATCAAACAAAACAAAGTGATAGCTTTTTATTTTGAGTTATTTTTTCCAGTACATATGATCTAATTTGTATTTAATTTGCATTGAGTAGAATTGGAACCCCCCACCAAAAAAAAAACAGAAACCCAACTTTTGCAGATGTAGACTTTACTTATATATATTTCAATTATTGCTTTAGAGCATCATTACAAAATGAATGAAATAAACAATATCAATATGGAAAAATAATGAAAATTTTCTGAAATCAATATTACGAATCTCATCATTAACTTGTAATAATTCGGAGTAAATCTAAAAATAAAAAAATATATTAAAAATCAAATTTGTAAATAAAAATGCCAAGCAACTTTTTTTCTGAGAATAACATTTAAAAAAAAAAAAAAAAAAAAAAAAACAACAAAAAAAACAAGTCAGTATAACTTTGATTATAAAAATGCTGCAAAATAAAAAAAGAAATAAAGTGTTTTCTTTAAAACAATAATATTTTCCTAGGAAACATTGGCTTTCAATACAATTCAAAGTAATTTTTAGCAGTTATTTTTTTTTTTTCACTTTGTGTGTGTGTATGCATATATATATGTTTTGCAAAATAAAAATGTCCAACTAGGGTATTTCTGGAACCTTTTTTTTTTTTTTTTTTTTAAAAAAACCAAACTTTTTGTAATTATAGTGTTCAATATGAAAAAACATTAATAGTAATAAATACAAATTAATATTTATTGATTTTGTCACTACTCTGAGTTTTATGGAGATTATATCCACTCATTGTAAAATTGAATTAGAATTAAAATACAATTTTACAATCAAATCTACTGTTCCTTGTTAGTTATTTGTTTTTTTTTTTTTTTATGATTTCAGTTTCATATTTGAAAATATATTTTCCTATGTCTGACTTCTTTCAGGTAGGAGCTAGAGTTAGCCATTATCAAAATCATTTTTTATGTCATTTGTTTCAATTTCAAATATCCCATTTTGTATGTTCAATTCAGCTTCTTGCATTAACAAATAAATAAATAGAAGACAAACTCTGAAAAATACTATATTTAAAAGTGAACACACTGACAACATAAAACCCTAAAAGTCTTTGAGAAAGGCTAATGCTGAGACATAGGAATATATATATATATATAATGCTGAGACATAGGATATATATATATATATATATATATATATATATATGAACATAAAATCAAGAAAATAATCAGGAACATCAAATGTAAATAAAAAAAAAAAATTAACAAGGAACTTTTGTTGAAATTTAGCCAAATCTTTTCTCCTCTATTTATATATATATATATATATATATATATATATATATATATATATATATAGTTTGATTAAAAAAGAACTAACAAGATCTGTCTCTTTAATTTTTTTTTTTTTAAGAAAAGGTGTTGAGCATTGTGCTCAAAGTTTTGGATAAACTGTCCAAAGTTCATATTTTGTTATTTTTGTTCAAGTACTTTCAACTTTCACAGTCATTATCAAGAACAAACATGGTGTTTATGTGGTCATTGGAATTCCTTTGTCTGGATCCTGGTATTCTTTGGGAAGCTGGGCTTTTAAAATGTATAGTTTATCCACAACTTTGAACAAAATACATAACACATTATCCAAAAAATGGAAAAATATAATAAAAAAAAAACGACGAAACAGACAGTCCTTGTTGGTTCTTTTTATTCAAACATGTTTGGATGAATACTTACTGACTAAATGTACCTTTTATTCACACACATGCAGGTGCACACAAAATTACTATTTTATAATGTTATCTAAGAGAATCTAACAATAAAAATATATAAATAGACATTACACAGAGAAATAACAAAGTTACAATGCAATCTTATTTTGACATTAACAATTGCAGGCATTTAAGCAGTAAAACACAAATAATTACTAAATTTTAATGTTTGCATAATAGAGTTGTTGAAATAGAATACTTTTCAAACAGAGGACAATATCAATTACATTTGCACATCAGATAGGCTTGATGAAGCCAATAAGCAAGCTCCCAATTCTTGATAAGCAGAGTTAAGCATAAGAAGCAATAATTAAATACTTATGATGATAATAGAATTTTGATTCATTTTAGTTCTGGATTAGAAAGGGTTAAAATATTAATAGCAAATTATAGAAATATATATATTTTATTCCTCTTAAATAAAACTTTATTAGACAATAGATTAAAAAGTCACTGTGATTTTTTTAATTATTTCCTAATGAATTTAATTATTCTTCTTGTTAAGTACTACTGTACAGTTTTTTGCATCTAGTCTTAGCACATAAATTTGAGTTGAAATATTTAATAACATGTAATTATTGTTTACACTTTGAGAAAACTGTTTTAATCACCATGAACCAGGAGAGAAAAGAATTTTGGTAAGAATAATAAGTCTATACAATAGGTATTTAGAACATTAAGGTTAATTTCTATTGAATTACTGCTATTCCAAAATAAACTACTTTTTATCATTTAACTATTAATTTCCATTTAAAATTCTGAACATACTATGTTAATGTATTGTATATATGTGTAACTAGTCAATCAGTTACAACCATAGAAGTTGATTTACCTGCTTGTCTTATTTCATCTTTCTATTCTTAGTGTTTGGTATCTACATATAAAAAATAACAATGTCTATTCATATAGATTTTGTGTAATATTTTTCAAAGAATGCACAAATACTAGACTGATCCTAAGCAGAAGTGCCAATCTATATGTAAACAATCATGTCATTTTTATAGGTACTATGCTAGTTGATCAAAATTACAAATAGAAATCAACTGCAAAAATGTTCATGTATTAAAATATTTTCTATAAAAATTCCCTATTCTTGTTAATTTTAACATATTGCACAACTACATAAAAACTTACTTTTTATAAAAACTACAAAATAACGTCACTGTAAAACTTTTAATGATTCTACTTATCAATCTGACCTTGCTAAAACCAATTTTTGAAAAAAATCTATTAAATAATTGTCTCTATTTTTATTTAGTGTAAAAGAATAAGACTTCATTTTGTGTTACTTGTATAACAACAGTTATGAAATAATTAAGTTTTTATAATCCTGTAGATTAGGTTAAGAAATTAAAATATTTATCTACCCGAGCTTCTTAATCTTGAGAAAGCTCTGGAATATTATTAAGTATATATTACAGACTGCTCCTATCAATGACATTAAAAGGGACAATGAAATCATGTCTTGTTGTCAGTGGTTATTACTAGTATACTTGAAGACATTTTAAAAGAATCACATAGATGATCACCAGGGTAATCTATTAAAATATTGTCTGTCATAGACAAAAAAAATGTCTGTTTAAACAGACTTTTTACCCATGATTATTAATACTAATAGTAGTAGTAGTAATACTAAATAATATACTAAATGGAAGCGGTCCAATATTTCCTCATATCCATGATTGTTAGAAGACATTTTATTTTTGGATGTCTTTTGTATTCATGTGCTATATAAATCTGTTTTAGCAGATATTAATACTTAATGACCAAAGCTTCTATCTGCTACATGTTATTAATAATAGCATTAGTGCTGAAAACCTATGACATCTGAACTGTATGAATAAAAGCAATTTCTGCCTGATTTTTTGAAGAAGTAGTGATTATTTACATGATTTATTTATTTTGAGAAGTAGTGATTATTTACATGATTTATATTTGGACTAGTGTCCTAATCTTTGTTATTATTAAAATGTTTCAGTCATTTTGCCCTCCACCATTCTTCATATGACTGTCAATCACTATTACTATACCACCAAATTCATAAACAAATGCCTTAATCCACTAGGCCTATGAATTTGGTGACATAGTAATTGTGAGTTCAATTTCTGGGTTGGATAGTACAAACACAGGATGAACAATAATTGAACAGTAGTAAAAAGAAGAAATCTCTTTAGACATGGACAGTGGAACAAGAACAATTTATTCCCAGTAGATTAAATAAAGGATTCAATTCAAAATTTCATGAAGATTACCTAGAGTTACAGACACATGAAGAAGGAGTACATAATGGTCAAAAATGACAACAATAACAAAGATATGGACACTTAGTCAGAACGTAAATAATGCAAAGAGAAAAGAGAGAAAGAAAAGAAAAATGAAAAAAGAAAAAGAAAAGAAGGTAGTTGATGCATTCTTTTAGTGATGAGTCAACTGTTACCATTCTTCTAAAAAATATCTTATTTTAAATAAGCAATATTAATTAGCAACTTGCTTTCAAAGAAAGTGAAGTTATTTTAATTTCTCATCCAAAGTTCATTTATAGAGCAATAAACATTTTTGTGTATTTTGTTGCTAACATATGCAAACAAACAAAAGGTACAGTGATAGGGGTTTGCTTTGACATTAGCCATTATTCATTAAATTGTAATATAAAGACAAACGAAGTAAATAGTGAAGCTGTGAATGATTCAATTTGAAAGAAGTTGAATTAAAAAAAGAATCAAGAGATAATAAAATCAAAAGCAGAATATATTTTCTAGCAATTTTTCTGTCAGATTTCTCACAAGAATACCAGTGAAAAAAATATGATTAAAGATCATGTCTAACTAATTATAAAGATTTCTTTTAATGATTCTGCTGAAAATTGAGAGAAAAAGTGGAATGCTCACAGCTTTACTAGAAGTACAAATGCATATATACCCGCCTTGCTTCAGCTTCATCCTTATCATCACGTAATTTTCTGTTCATATCCCTGCAGAAGAAGAATTTATTTCACCATTGTTATCCAAATTTCTAAAATTTTGCATTAACATTTATTCCATGAATTATTCAGATTAGCATTTCAATCTTTATTTTATAGATCCTTGTTCTTCAATTGATACCTTCTGACTTTCTTCTGATAGACCTATACTGCATTTAGCAATCTTTGAACAAAAACCTTTTTTATCCATATTGTTTCTGTTTACTGGAGATGAAAAGCAATTAGAAACATTCATAAATCCAACCCACAATGAGGTAAAAAACATGTTGGAAACCCCAATATATATAATTTTTGTATAGTTGATCATAAGAAGAGTTCATTATTACTGTTTCTGGAAGAAGCTTTCAAAAACCACTGAAAAACATACTATTTTGTCATCTAATATCTGTTAAAATTAATATGTCTATTTCTCCTCTGTATTGGTTACTTCAATAGGTTGAAAAGTTTATGTACACCCTTCCTCCAAGGGAAACTTGCAGGTTATTCACAAATCTTTTTGCAAATGGATACAGTTTTTCATTAAATAATACAAATTGCTTCTAAAATTAAAATAGTCTGGATGCAAAATTGAGTTTATTTTCAGACATTACTTTCCCTTAAATGTATCCTTTTGCCAAAACTGGCAGTCACTTCCATTTCATACACTAAATTATGCTCCTAGTTTGAACCTTTAGGATGCAAAATTATCCAAATAAATCTTTGAACAATATATCTGACCATTTATTCCATCTTTTCGCCTTACAGTTGGTACAATAAACTTGTACTGCCTGTGACAAAACTAACAAAATAAGCAAAAGAGTTGGCTATCCAAGTCAAACATAGTATTAATAATAGAAGAGAAAAACATTAAAAAAAAACAATACAAAACTTTTCAGTCTTGGATTTACTGCCATGTGTTGTAAATACAGTCAGAAAATGCAATACAGAAATGGAGGAAATGCAATCCAATGCAGTTCCTGCTACAGAGTCCCAGTAAAGTCAAAACTAAAACAAAATACTGTTGATAATTCATTTGTAACTCTGAAAGTACTGCAGACTACAGTGGCTGGGATTGAAGTAAAATTTCTGGAGTTGTTTATAAACAGTGATTTAAAAACAGGAAAGTTTGAACTCAGCATTGCATAAGAAACCATCTCTACACTTGATGTTTTTATATTACTTTTTAAACATAACCATGAACTCACTTCTTTCTAGTGTTCTACCCCATTATTTCAACCTCATTTCTGAGTATAGTTCTTTGTCTCTCTCTCATTACCTATTATGCCTAATTTCATAGTCTTATTTCAGGTGGTTACATTTTTGATGATCCTCAAGTTTACTTAATTTGGGGGAGAGGTTAGTTGGTTTCCTCCTTATATCCCCCCTGACATAATTGCATAGGATGTTGCACACACACACACACAACTTGACTTACTTTGGAGGATTAGTCAAATGTTTGATATCGTGAACCTGTTTATCAATGTTCGAAGATACAAGATACCTCTTCACTGATAAAAGATAAATTAGAAAGTGATTCATCCCTGGGGAAATACATCAGCATGCAAGTTAACAATCTAATGTAAATGTTCTGCATATAAATGATACATTTCCAATTAGGATCTAACATATACAGATGGATGAAAGGCATAGTTATTACTGTTGCTAATAGCAACACACCTCTATATATTGAATACTTTAAAGAATTAACTATCAACAAAACTGACTTAAATATGTATTCGACACCTTTGTCATCAACTTTATTGTTATTATCACAATGTTTTGTTCCTTCCAAACTTCTTCAGGTATCTCTCAGTCTGGATAACCTGGAAATTTCAAACAGAACCTTTCGTTCAACTGACAAACCTGGAAGAACAGACTTGTGGATTAAAGCATTGGTTCGTGAATTTGGTGACATAGTAATTGTGAGTTCAATCCTTGGGGTGGGTAGTGCAGTAGAAACAGGGTGAGTAATAATTGGGCAGTACTAAAATTAAGAACAAGAGGAAATATCCTTAAACATAGATCAGTCTAACCCCACAGATTAAATAAAGAGTTATCCAGATTGATAAGCACTGGATGAAGGCCAGAGGGCTCAAAATGTTGTTTTAATAACAAAAAAATGAGGACAATAGTCTGTAGTAATGTTTGCATATCAACCTTATGAACAATATCAATATTCATATATTAACTTGACTTGTAAACATTACTATATTGTATAGATTTCATTAGTATATCAACACAGAGCATAATATATATTTGCTTTCCTAGATGCTTTTCACAGAAAATGGGTTCAAGACATCTATATACAGGAAAACAGTAAACATAGGACTATGTCACCAATGTGAACTGAAGATAATTAGAATATTATTTTTATCTGAAACATTTCAAGTGCAGCATGAAATCTTGTTACGTAGAGTAAATGTGAATTGATTAAAGTTGAAATCTCTCTCTCTCTCTCTATATATATATATATATAATTCTGTGACTTCCATTAGTCTCTCTATCAACCCTTCTAAAATAGCCATATATTGACCAATCAAAAGAAAATTTTGGGAAGAAGTGCAAACAGGTAAGGAGGTACAAAATACAGTTGTTTTTTTATTCTTGTACATAAAAGTATTTTTTTCCATACAAATCGGGTTTATTCAGATTTCATCAATTCGTTGCAAAATTGAATGAAATGTAGAGTTTGTAAATCTTGACCAAAAATGTTAGCAATAACTTCAACATTACTAAATACTGTCAATATTTCAACATGTGTCAGCATATTGCAAAAAATTCTAGTAGTTAAAATTTTCAAAAAGTGAATAGGAGAAGGGATTTTTTTCAAACATTATCACAAAGCAGGAGAATCAGCTGAGCAAAATATTATAGATTAAAACAAAGATATTATCCCAAATAATTCATAGAATAATAAAATTCTTTTATAAAAATGTTCTCATGATTATTTTAAAGATATTTGTTTGCATTAATAGAAGTTCTCAGATTCACAAATATGGAAATATAATTTGCCAAACCCATATTAGAAAAAAGATCTTTGTGACAATTTCATTTCAGTTGTGCAAGTTGACAACTCATATTTCATTTCAGCTAATCTTTTTCATGATCAGAGAAAGATGTGATTCTATGAAATCAGCAAAGAAAGATTTATTACTTCCTAACATCTAAACAGTCTTTAATTGTAGCTCAGCTTGTCAATGTACTAGATTGTGCTAAAACTGGTTTCTTATATTGTACAATTATACAATAGGTTGCAAATAAGTAATTTAAAAATTCCAGTTTACATATTTAAATCATTATATTTAAATAGTATCTTCAAGTACAAATTAAGTCAATTTCTAAGAGATGAATACTACAATCAACTATTTTATTTACATGTAGATTATTGTCCTCATCATTGTTGTTGTTATCTGGCCTTCATCAAGCATATGTCAATCTAGGTCATGTACAGCAAATTTCAAATTGAACCATTCATTTAATCTACAGAAGTAGATTGGTTCTGTCCCACTGCCCTAGGGATATCTTGCCTAGTTCTTTATTTAGTACTGCTCAGTTTACATTGAGTCCAAGTACACACTGCCCAGCCCCAAAATCATAATTACTGTTGTGAATATGGATTATCTCCTCTTAGATAATCCAAGCTATAAAAGCTGTATACTTCTGCTGTCAAGTCAGATGAGTAGTAGTATTCTTAATTGAATAAACGATTACTAGACAGAATCTCTTGTCCTGTTTTCATTACATTTTATTCAATTAAGAATGGTACAATTTATATGCGACCTGGAGCGACTTACCACAGATCCAGAAAGCGATTCAGCCGACAAGTGCTGGAAACATTATGGAGACATTTACAAATTTCATCGAGGTTCTACATTCAGAAAGACCGGACGTCCCATCAATAAGCATGCGCTCCTAACCAACTACCTGTCTCACACAGTCAACAAAATTATCTCGGATTGCGTTTCCTACGAAGAAGCAATCGATGTACTGAACGCTACATACATAAAGCCCCAAAATGAGATATTTTCTAGACACCTACTTGTGACTCGCCAACAAGAATCAGGCGAGACATTGGACCATTTCCTTAAGAGCCTTCGGACACTGAGCAAAGATTGCAACTTCTGCCCAATGACGGCATTAGAGGCCCAAGAGCTACACATTTTGGACGCCTTCATTAACGGCTTACGCAATACTCAGATAAGACAATGTCTTCTTGAGAATAAGACCCTTACACTTAGAACAGCTTACGAGCAAGCGTATATCTTTGAAAGTGCTATACAGCAGTCTAGTTCTTATTTACAGCCAGACACCGTGGGCGCCGCGTTAAACCCACCTGTTCTTACTGTCCCCCCTCATGACGATAGTCCAACGAAGCTTCAAGAACAATTGGTCATTGCCGCTTTAAAAAAGGACACTTGCTATTTTTGCGGCTTATCTAAACATCTACGAGTCTCATGCCCTGCCAGAGATACTCGTTGTCATAAATGTGGAAAACTTGGCCATTTTTCAAAGGTATGCAAGTCTTCTAAAACTCTATACAAATCCACTTGTCAAAATACTTCTGCAACTTTAGCTGCCTCCCCCGACTGCCTTTCAAAAACTATTGTAAAAGTGAAAATTAACGGGAGGTCTACAAATGCCCTGCTCGATACCGGGAGCTCAGGAAATTTTATCAAAGAAAGCTTGGTAAAACCAACAAATTGTATTTTGTCCCTCCCCCAGCAGAGTAACAATGGCAAACGCGTCATTGTCTGCGCAAGTAAGTGGTTATTGTTTGGTGGACTTACTATTTAATGACGTCTCCTATAAAACCACTAAATTATCCGTAATGAAAAACCTTTGTTGCAAAATAATACTGGGACATGATTTTTGCAGCAACACTCACAGGTTGAAATTCCGTTTACGGTTCAATGCCCGCATTGAAAATTTGTGGATTGGCGACAGCAAAAAATCCAGTACCCATCACTTTTGAAAACCTAACTGAAAACTGCAAACCCATAGCAGTGAGAAGCAGACGTTTTTCTTATAATAATAAAAAATTCATTGACTGAGATAAAAAGACTACTTGAGGAGGGTATAATTGAGCCTAGCAAATCACCCTGGAGGGCTCAGGTAGTTATAACCACTTCTAGCAACCATAAAAAGAGAATGGTTATAGATTACTCCCAAACCATAAATAGATTTACTCTTTTGGACGCCTTCCCACTACCCAGGATAGATGAAATGATAGGCGAAATAGCCAAATATCGTATGTTTAGCACTCTGGACTTGAAAAGCGCGTACCATCAGATCGCCATTAGACCTAGAGACAAGCCATACACTGCTTTGAGAGGATAATGGTCGACTATATCAATTTCAAGGATTCCTTTTGGCGTTATTTAATGGGTTAGCCAGCTTCAAAGGATAGTCGACCAAATCATAACGGATGAGAAACTGGAAGGCACATTTGTGTACATCGACAACGTCACAGTATGTGGCCATAATAGAAAGGAACACGACGAAAATCTCAGACGGTTCATGTCCGCCGTCGATAAATACAACCTTACCCCTAAATGACGACAAATGCTCGTTTGGATTGGACAAAATAAACCTACTGGGGTATACCATAAGCAAAGGTTTTATGGCACCGGACGCAGATCGATTGAAACCTTTACTCCAGATGCCTGTCCCCTCACAACCAGCCTTCCCTTCGACGTGCTATGGGCATGTTTGCTCATTACTCTCAATGGATTGCTTTGTTCTCAGAAAAGATACATCCATTGACACAAGTAGAGACGTTTCCTCTGTCCCATCAAGCCGTTGAGGCATTCGAGGGACTGAAAAAGGATATTGCGAAATCTGCAATTACAACAATAGACCAAAATATTCCTCTGGTTGTTGAAACGGATGCATCAGACTGTGCTATTGCTGCTTCTTTTGAAACAAGCTGATCGTCCTGTAGCCTTCTTTTTCTCACAGGCTGAGCGGCGACACCCCGCAATTGAAAAGGAAGCCACGCCATAGTCGAGGCATTAAGAAAATGGCGACACTACCTGATCGGACGCCACTTTAAACTTATTACTGACCAGAAATCAGTTGCTTTTTATGTTCAACTCTAAAACTACTTAGTAAAATAAAGAATGAGAAAATAGCGAGGTGGAGAATTGAGCTATCTTGTTTCTCCTTTGATGTCAGCTACCAACCTGGCAAGGAGAACTTAACAGCTGATACACTGTCAAGAGCATGCTGTACAGCATCAAGCGGGGACGAACTCCGAACGCTACATAACAATCTCTGTCACCTGGGCATTACTCGAATGGTTCATGCTGTGAGGTGTAGAAACTTGCCTTTCTCAGTGGAGGAGGTAAAAAGAATTACAAATTCTTGTCGAACGTGGTGCTGGAAATAAAGCCTCGGTTTTATAAACCCCAAACTGGCATTTTAATAAAAGCAACACAGCCGTTTGAAAGACTCAATCTTGATTTTAAAGGACCGCTACCAAGTAAAACAAGGAACAGACATATATTAACGGTTATCGATTTAATATTCACGGTTTCCTTTTGCCTTCCCTTGTTCAGACATATCGGCTGCTGCAATTATACAATGCCTCTGCTCACTGTTCGCCATCTTTGGAGCCCCTGCCTATATACATTCGGACCGAGGGGCTTCTTTCATGTCAGAGCAGCTTCGGCAATTTCTACAGGAACGAGGAGTAGCTATAAGCCGGACAACTCCGTACAACCCTAAGGGTAACGACCAATGCGAAAGTGTTGAAGCTTGAATAAGCATGGAATAATAATAATACAACACAAAATGTACGTAACAAAATGTATTGAAACAATGAAAAAAGGTACACAATATTTACAGGTAGTTTTGGTATATTCTTGGGAAGACTGTTCCTGCAGAATGGGTTGACTAAGTCGCAGTCGGGCAGAGTCTCTGGATTCGATCTCTTAATCTTCCGTCGTCTTCCGGTACCAACCCATATTTATATGGTCGGTACTCCACTTATGTAAATTAGGTGTATCATACACAACAGAAAGATATAACGGCATTATTTGGAAGACCGTTCAATTGGCTGCCTCAAATAACGGATGTTCAATTGATAATTGGGAAAATCTCCTTCCTGTCGCATTATACGCCATTCGATTTCCCTATTGTGTACCGCCACAAATGCCCCCCCCACGAAAGGTTTCTACCTTTTCAGCGACGGAGTTCGGCCGGGAGCCGCTTCCATCTTGGCTCTCTCGACCCAGTACTGTGTTTCTGAGGCGACATGCACGTTACACCAAGAACGATCCCTTGGTGGACGAGGTAGAGCTTATAGAGACGGACCCTCAGTACGGCGCTAGCAACGACATGCAGATGGTAGAGAGTCTAATGTGTCTCTCAGGGACCTAGCACCGCCGGAGACGCACCCGGACCGTGGATAGCCCCTGAGGACAGACCAACTACCCCTGACACTGAAGCCCCTCCGGAAGATCATGGCACTGAAATTGTTCCTGACACGCCTGGCGACACACTGTCTCCGTTGAGGCCCCGTCAGACACTTCGGATGGGCCAACACCTGAAACCCTGACAGATGAAGGGCTAGCACCGAATAAACGTGTTCATCCAGAGACTGACTCTGGCGCGGAACGGCCTGCTCCTCTGAGAAGGAAACATTTCGAGCAAGGTATTTTAGAGCCCACAGACAGGCTCGCACTGAAGAGCCTCCCCAGTTCGAAAGTACTCCACCACTTAATCATGGACTGCCGAGGCGGCCACTGCGAACTCGTAGGGAGCCTGGACATTTAAGGACTTTCTTCCTATCAGTGAGAAATTTGGTGGGGAGAATGTTGTGAATATGGATTATCTCCTCTTAGATAATCCAAGCTATAAAAGCTGTATACTTCCGCTGTCAAGTCAGATGAGTAGTAGTATTCTTAATTGAATAAACAATTACTAGACAGAATCTCTTGTCCTGTTTTCATTACAATTACTATGTCACCAAATTTATGAATCCATGAGGCAATTTCTGAATGAAGAACTAGGAGCCTTAAACCTAATCTGCCTGCTGATGAGTGTTGTTGCTGCTTGCCATACTTGACTGCACTCACTGAAGCATCTGTTTTGTTACAGCTGTTGCTGAAGATCTGTTGTCATTTGTCTTTTTTTCTTTATTAGAAGCTCCTATATGGTATTTATTTCTATGCTAGGCCTACTAAGAAGGTCTTTATAGCCTAGCATATGTGTCAATTCTTTCAGATGTCTCTCCAGTGTTACTTCTTGTCCAGTATTTTCACTTTTTTCCAGAGGGGTTAATGACTACCTTTCTCCTTCCATATATGATCAACCATGCCTGGATTTCATTTTCTCATTACAGTTTTTGATATACCCCCAGCCTTACTTTTAGGGAGCAGCTAGTTTCACCATTATATTCTTTGCTAGAACTGCAAGAAATGGAGTACATACAATTCTTGGTAATGTTCTTTCCCATGTTTAACTTGACAGAGATTTCTTCATAGAGTTGAACTACTTCTGAATATTGTCCTGATATTCTCAACAAAAATGTAGACAATGATCCACATGTAAATAACAACTCATCCCAGAAATTAAGACAGATGCAATCAACTAATTTGATATCTTTCTTTTAGCATATCTAAAAAGAATATCAGAGGAAAATTAGGATTAAATTTTAAATATATAATGGAATGCAATTTTCATGAAATCACCATAAAATTGGTGAAAATCTTTGCCAAACATTTTTGAAACATGATAGAAATAAAAACTGACAGGGGTGGTATTAAAGATAATTGTGTTTGGCATTAAAAGTTTAGGATGATACGGTGGTAATTTATTGCAATTGATATATGACTATGGTTAACCTTGAATAAAAAGTTAAAATACTGTACTAACCTGAGGAAATCCAACTGCTTTACAAGACTTTCTCGTTCCATAGCTATTCCTTCAGTAAGTTTCAAAGCCACTCTGAAAGAAAAACCAGAAATAAACAATTGTGCATTTCAAGAAGAATTAGAAATGAAAGGTTGTGTATTTCAAGGAACTTGACAAACAAGACTTAAAATCTTTTCATATTTTGGGTTGTAATCCAGGCAGTGTCAAAAAGTAAATTGGAGTAAAAAAATGTTTGACTTTCAACAAAACATGTGATTTAGGATATTGGAAAATATGCACATTTTCTAAGTCCTCTTTTGTCATATTCAATGGAAGATCTTTGAAAGAACTTATATATAACTGCTTATTCTATAAAACTGCTGATTTCATGCAATGAAATCGGAACATTTGTAGACAAATAAAAAAAACAAAAAATAGCAGTAATTATTTACATTATGTTTTAATGAATATGACTGTGTATTCATGTTAAACAACTTTTGATTTTGGCAAGTTCATGTACATAATACATTATTTAGGATATGTAGGATAACAGTATATATATATATATATATATATATATATATATATATATAAACACCATATTGTCAACTACAGAAATTAAAAACTTTATTTTATTCAACTTTGGAATTTAAAATTATGAGTTCTTTCTGAGTGACAATGTATGTTAAAATACATTAAATCCTTCATTTATCTGCTTTTCTAGTATTTACATTTCTATACATAAAAATTAAAACAACAACTTCAAAATATCCTTTCATCTGCTTATCTTTTCATTATGTTTTGTCATCTTAGATTCAGGTTATCAATTGCATTTAGAAACAAAAAAAATAAAAACAAAATAATTTTTAGTAATTACAATTTATAATGCAAATGACATTAAATCTGGTTCTGATAAGACAGCCTTTAGGTAACCTGCTTACAAACAACTTTAATGAATTTTAATGAAACTTGTTTGTGTGTCAGTAAAGAAAAGAAGCCAAGAGAAACAACTGTTTAATGTACTGACCAGTCTGTCTGAGAAGAATAGAACTAGTTCTGACAAAGTCACAGTTATAGAGCATTCAGTAAAAGTAGACTTACAAACAAGTGTTTTCAAGAGTACCAATACTAAAATTCCTGAAACACATTTGTGCTGTCAATGAATAAAAACGTAATAGATTTTAAAGTCTCTTACATATATAATATAGTAGATTAGATCATAGGCTATTAGATGTCATTAAATGTTTGATGCTAAAAGAAAACTGATTTCAAACCAAAATAAATTATCATTCTTGCTGGTCAGTTTACATAATTGTTTAACTATTAATTATAGGCTACAACTTATGTTTCAAATGTTCTATATTCAAGTTATAAATATTGACACTTATTTGATAATATTAATATTTGACAGACCAATGGCAATTTATTAACAGAAAATATTAAGCATAGTTAATTTTGTCAACTTCAAGAATAATTTCCCTGTATGGTTTGTCTCCTAAGTATTTCTATTCAAATAAAATCATCATGGTTCACAGATTCAAAGACATTTTCTCACTTCACACAGCAATTATGCAGTTCTAGTGAGACAATTTCAGCAAATAGGTGCCTAGTTGATTTTATGAACCCTTGTTGGGTTATTTAGTGTCAAATTTTGCATGGAGCACTGAGTGACGATTGAATTTACTATTCAGAAGTAATCACTAACAGGACAAACCTTGCTAACCATTAATCTATGCAGAGACAATTCCAATTAGATAAATTGTTGGACAAAGATAACTTTGGTAGCAAAGTCTTTTTTTGGTTCTGTAAAATTATTTAATTTTCAAATGAAATATTCTCAAAAAAACCAAATTTCCCTACATGTTTTCAGGAGATGAGAGAAATCTGAAAGCAACTGTAATATGAGGGAATCTATTGTAAATTCCTCAAGATCCCTTTTCAAAATTATCTGGATACAAATCAATTAGCTTAACTGAAAACTTATCCCAACTTTATCTTGTAAATGAAATTTAGCAGCTACAAATTTGTAAAGTCAATAGTTATATAAAAAAGGGAATCAGTGAGTCAAATTACAGTTTTATACTTTTAGAAAAGGAATACATTTACATTTTTTTTTTGCAAGAAGTGGGATCCCTATTAAAACAACTTGTTAAACTTAGCAATGACTATATGGCCACTAGTCTGAACTAGCTCAATCCAATCTGGGTGACTGCCTTCAATGATATATGTTATGATAATGGATATGTTAGAAATTGTAGGAGTGTTACTTTTCAGCTCACCTTTAATAATGAAGTAATGAAAACTCAAATCAAGAGTAATAAGACATACAAATAAACAATTGCATGGACAAATTAAATATAAATCTACTAAATAACTTACTTTGCTCTTTCTCTTTTTTCATCTTTCTGTTGTTGCCTCAGTTGCTGAATGTATGACTTCTGTTCTTCTAGAACTTCTTGAGATTTCCTTAACTTTGTTTCCAGCTCTTCTTTTTCCTTGTGATGAAAGAATTTTAATTAAAAACAGATATTACATCTACGAAATATCCAAGAATCCTTTGATAAGTGTTTAAGTTAAAAAGAAGCCTTTAAAACCTAAATATTTAGCAACTAAAGATTATACATACTTTCATGTTAATTTTATACAAATTGTTGATAAAGAATGACCTATATTTCGAGTTATATAACATACATGAGTATAAGAAAAAGAAGGTAATAGTATTAATCCATATTTATATGTATATGCTTTTTTTAATATTTTAACATTATCTTAATTTGTAAAACATTTAATGATAATCTGTGGATAAGTGAGTCAATCATGGATTTTAATTTAGATGTTAGTCTACCATTGTGATATGAAAAACAAAGTGAATTTATGAATTTTTTTCTTTAGATTGTACAAAATATGGTAATTTTCTGATATATAAATATTGGTCAAGTAGTTCCAAACATGCATTCTATTTTCTTAAATGGATATATACAGAACAAAATTATTCTTTTGTAATCTGTAACAAATCTATGTAGAGAACAAAGGAATATATTCTTCACCACTACCAGACTGATAATTCAAGTAATATGTATCTAACATAAATTAAACTTTGAAAAGGTACAGATAATTATCAAGAAATTTAAGGTTAAGTGTAAAGTTCCATAATACAAGTTCATTATCAATAAATATAAATCTGGAAAAAAAAAAACTTACAGAAATAAAATATTTGCTTTAGAGAAATGACATGTTTATAATGTTGAGGTCAATGAGCTTTGTAATTTTACAAATAACATAAACTACATACATATCATTACTCATATGCACAAATACATAAACTACATACATATCATTACTCATATGCACAAATAACATAAACTACATACATATCATTACTAAATGCACTTCTGATATAAAAATTTTTATATATATATATATATATATATATATATATATATATATATACGATTAATACAAATATAAAATTTGTCAGCTGAGTGATGTTATTTTGAGCATCTTGATTCTAGAGTTTTGTAGACAGACCCTTAGCAATCACTTCATCTACTCATCAGCAGATAACAAGTGACTGTTTATTTTCTCATTTTTCATCATTTTTATATTCAGTTACAAAATAATTTATACACTTTCATTGTTGCAAGGTTGATTTTTTTTACTTTTTTCTTCTTTTATGTGTGTGTGTGCACGTGTATGCATTCCACTGTGCATGTGTGTATGTGCCTACATGTAGAATGTTATGGTTATTTTTCCTTTTTTGTCATTTTTCTTGTCTTTTTATACTCTCTCCTTATAGGTTTTATACAATTTTCTCTCTTTCAACTTTGAGTGACAGAAGGGCCATACTTTCCCCTAGGATACAAAAAAAAAGAACTTATTTCTTGATAAGTATGTGTATATTTTTATAATGGCTAAGCTACTATATTAAGATCATATTTAAGAAAAAAAAAAAAAAGAAGAAGAAAGTGTATTAATTTTTTTAAAAACAAAAGAAAATATCCTCTCAAGTATTTTAATCCTTGGTAAAACATAAAACAGTAACTCACAAAATGTATTTAATATTCTTACGCTTTTTGTGCATATAAAAGAAAGGAAAAAGAAAAATTTTCAATGTTTTAACTGATCATTCTTATATTTTCAGCAAGATTTATTTAGGATTTTCTCTTATTTATGCAAAAACGTTATAATTTATTAATAGTATCATTATGTATATTTAATGTTGTAAACATATTTTTCTTTATTTTAAAGGAAATAAAAATTGAGGAAATTAAAACATTGATACAATTCAGTTCATATATATTTGAATAGACACCAGTATAGACAATATCAACTACTTCACTGTTTTATAATTCTGTTATTTCTTAATTTATTATTTAACATTTTTTAATTAAAGAATTATGACCTTATTCTCTTAAAATGGAAGGAAATATGTAAAGAATATTCATTATCAATAGGTATATTTACTTTAATATCAGGTCTATGAATAGTTTTTCTGGTATTTGCTAAACAAGAGTATCATTTAGCAAATACCAGAAAAAACACCATCACTAACTAATTATTATCTTTTATGAAATTAGTAAATTGTTAACAACTGTTTAATTAATAATTCTTAATATTTTACCCTTAATAATCTGTCATTTGTTTGTTTTGCTTCTGCTTCTGAAAAATTGACTTCAGACATTTTCTTCTCCAACTGAAAAAGAAAAAAATCAATTATTAATGATATTTGATTTTATTCAAAGGGTTTACATCTTTGACAACTGGACTTTTCTTTTACCAACTGTTACACTCTTTAGTTTCTCTTTCAGAATATAAACAGAAACAATATTATTTCTCAGATTTTAAGATTGTTGTCAAAGGAAGAATATTTACCTGCAAAATTAATGCTTCAAAGAATTCATAATTGGCTTAGATCAGTGATTCTTAAATAGGAGGCACTTGGCTCTCAGGGGAAGACTTTCAAATCTAAGGAGAAAAATTTTAACCGGGGGTGGGGGGAGGAGGAAATTAAGTAAATTATTACAATGGGGAAAATTACTAAATGTCAATACAAAAGAGAGGAGAATTTAAGGAAACCTGGATTACAAAAGGAGAAATGTGGCCTTGGACTATGAAAAACCACTGGTTTATATATATTTCCAAAGTGAAGTAGACAAGCAGCCTCATCTGACCAGTGTTGTTTTGATCATTGTGCTTTAGTCAGCAGGCTGTTTATACTTCCTCAATACTACATTGTTACACAGGGAAGCAGTAGGCAAAACAAAATATTGTTTGGGAAGCATGCAGACCAGGGAGTTTTCAACATTATTTTTTTTTTTTTACAATCTTTTTTTATAATCTTATAAAAAGGTATACTCCAGAGTCTGTTTACAAAACTGATTCATCACCTAAATGAGAGATACTTGTTCAAATTTTTTTATATTGGTACCTTCCCCTAGCATCTAACTTGTATAATAAACAAAGCCTTACATGTTGAGAAATTGGTTCCTGAGATCAAAACTCACCATTTGTGTGGAAATAATGAGTGATGCCTTCATTTTATGAATATGCTCAATAGATTATAATACAGAAAAAGAAAAGTCAACAGAAAAAAAGAAAACTATTACAAGAGTAAAAATATTGATACCCTTTTTCTATTTAATTCAGTAAGAATGGATATTTTTTCAAGTGCATAACTTAAAAAATTCAAACAAATAAAAATTTATAGACCAAATCAATCTGTCACAAAAAAAAAAAAAGAAGAACAAATTGAAAAAAAAAAAATAGATATAGTTTAAGATTATGGGATGTAACATTCACATGAACACCCACCAAAAAACAACCTTATTGTTTAAAACAATAGCAGATGAAGAGAACAATTAAAATAATACATTAATATTGATATCTGCATGTTTGTGTATATATGTATGCTGTTATACTTTGTACATGAGACATAGAAAAAAAAATTAGTGTATATGAGAGGTTTCTAAAAAGTTCTCTGCTCAATCCAATTTACAAAACCTGATCAAATATCAGAAAACTTTGTGGAATCCCTTCATGTTAGGCTGAAAATTTTTCAGCACCTCCTCTTATGTATGCATACATAAATAGCCTGACCAATAAACGCTAAAAATACTATTTGGTCATTGCTCCATATTTTAGAAAGTAGGTCAGGTTCAGAACTTTTCAACTTGCCTTGTATATAATGTGCATTTAAGCAGAAGTACTTCATTAACATTTTTCAAAAACATTTTACTTAACATTTCCTTAATATATATATATATATATATATATATATAAAACTGCCGTTTACATTTTGCCCATTGAAGAATTTGGTATATGTGTAGGATCATGCTTTATATCATCCTATTTTGGATTTAAAGAAAAAAAATATAAGAAAATGATTAACATCTAAAGTTTTTGTACTAAATCTTTTATGGTCTCTCTGATGAGCTCTTCACTATGGTACCTAGACTTTTTTAAATTTAAGTGCAGTACTAGACTGGTATCAAGAACTCATCAATTTACATTTGAGCTGGCTAGATGTAGCTGTAACTTATATGCTAACAGTTTCTTTTCTTGCACTTCTCACTCATGGAACTCCCTTCTGGCTCCATGGTTTCCAACCAACTTTAATCTGCAGAAATTTAATTACAATGTCAATTGCTATCTACTGTCCTCTTGATTAGTCTTTTCTTTTCCCACTCATTATCAATGTTTCTGTTCCTAATTCTTCCACACTCTGTAACCCCTTGTGCCTTAGTGGCTTTACTGCTTTGCATGGGTTAAAACCAATTAAAAAAAAAAAAAAAAACTAAGTGTATAGCCAAAAGATCTCAAATAATTGTATACTAAGATATATTTGTCTATATTTCTGAGATTAATTATTTATATTGTTTGGACTGTTCTCCTCATCTTTATTGCCATATTCACAATGTTTCAGCTGTGTATACTGGTGGATGAAATAAAGGGGTCAGTTTGAAATTCCAATCACCTGAAGAAGGCCAGAGCATACAACAGCTGAAATGTCATGAATATAGCAATAAAGAGGAGGACAACAGTCTGAACAATGTAAATAACATAGCCAAGTAACAAAAAAAAAAAACATTAAAATCTAAATTTTATTACCTATTTTCAGTACTGTCCATTTTTTCATGTAATTATACTATTTAATTTTAGTCAGAACTGCATTACCAAGAATAATCAAGTAATTAATTTTATTAATGGCCGAGTCACATCATCAAAACTGCCTTGGTTAATTTGAAGTAGAGAGGATTTTGTTTGATATTTTCATCTGATTAATTTTTAACACAGAATGAACAAAAAGAAAATGAAAACCAATTTGTACTTGTTTTTTGATAGTGTCGCAGTCGCCCTTGACTGCTCCCTAAAGTGGAAGAGAACAGGGCACTTCAACCCTGACCTTTTGATTGTGTTCCCTACATGCTGGTATTTAGTTTTAAGAATTGAGCTAATTACTTTTTAGTTCCGTTGGTGTTATGAAAGTAGTTGTAATACACCTTAGCATTTTTACGAGACCATGTTTGTGGTTGGTCTTCCCTAACATAACGCAGCGACTTCACGCCAAATTCAGGGGGTCGGTACCCAGGCAGCAGAACGGTCGGTATGTACACTCCCGGTCTTTGTGGCCAAGATGCCGACCCAGTCTGCGTATTAAGTTACCATCCATTTTTTTTGTCTGCCAACTGGACGCAAGTTGGATCTATATCTCTCTACTTCACCTCTTTACTTGTGGGCTCCTTGCCCATGTTCGACTCTCAGCATTCCGTCCCTACTGGCTGCCCTCACGTTGTCCGTAACCTTTCCCGTACACTACAGTTATGATTATTATGGGAGGTTTCGATATCAGACTTGACCAGCAGACATGCAACACCAGCACCGGACATTAACAACATTGAAATGCCAGCTCCCCGTTCCTTCTCGACACATCCAGACCGAAACCAGACCAGCCGACCAGCAGCAGTCATCTGTGATGACCAACCAACCATTCCCATATACTATCAGTTGTAATTACTACGGGAAGTTTCGATACTGACCTCGATGAGCAATGCCTGCACTGCAATGTCCAACTGTCGACACGATTGGTACGTCTGCACCTCAACTCCAACCATCGACACAACCAATCCAACCCTCAACATGACCAGTCTGACCACCATTACCATGATTGCCAGACCAATATACCCCATTGTCTCTTCTTCATAAAATAAACTTAGCATTAATCATACACATCCTCGTTCTGTTTTCCATTTTATTTCACCTTGTCAGATTTCCCGTCTTTAATATGAGAAACATTAGCAGACCTCTTGTGGCCTTCATCATTTATGATACAGGGTGCTCGGACCATGGTTTCATATCACGCCCCCTCCACGGGGTCCGCTACAATAGTACTGCAACAAATTCTCCTTTTAGATTAGGTTTCTAATACATGGGGAGATTTTTAATAATTGGGAAGTGTCAGAATTTTTCTCAATATGGATTAAATGGAAGAGGTTTTAAAAAATAGGAGTTGGAAAATTATTTAAAGGGTGAAAAAGTGTAAAATTAATAGTGTGATTGGAAAAAAATAGATAAATAAAAATACCCCACCTCCATTAGGTACCTAAATGTAACCTGGTACAAGACAATAATTCTATTTAATTCCGTGGTATATGCATGCAATCAAGATTCAGTACCGATTTGGAGACTAATGTTAAATATAATTTAATATTTTTTTTATTTAAAATATAAATACTCACATCTTTGTGCCTACTTATTAATTCTTGAAGTTGACCATCTTTTTCTGTCAATTCTTTCTCCATTTCTTCTCTGAACATTCGTTCTTTGGCTTTTTCCTGTAAATGAAAGAATTAAAAAGTTCTAGTTAAAAACGATCTTCAAGTATACTACCAAGTACTTCTTGAAGTATTTAGCAGAGAAAGTTTTATTTATAAATCTCTTATATAAATGAATAAAAAAATTATCTTGTAGAAATAAGGACTTATTAAATAAAAAGAACTTGCATAAAAAACTCAATGTAATCATTACAATAAAATCAAATAAACTACCAGTGAGACATGTAAAAACTTGAGCCTGATAAGAATTTATATAGAACAAATCCTGCACATATATCTTAAGAATTTATTTAAGACAAAAAATGTATTCTGCAAATTTTTCAATTTTTATTTATTTACACACTACAAAGTTTTCTGAACTATAATAGAAATCAAATTTTAGAAATTAACCGTTAAACTTTTATATTAGAAAAGAATATTGTTGAACCTAAAGTTAGTTTAGTAAAATTAAGAGAAAAGATTTGGTCTTTTCATTCTGTGATACCAAATTTTGAGGGTGGGTAAAAGTCATAAATATATGTTTATAAAATTATACACTGATTAAAACTAAGGTTATTGAGGTAAGAAGTATCTTAATATGAAATAATTAACAAATTAGTAATAATTTCAAATCTAATTTTTTTGTATAAAATCTAGATAAGAAATAAAAATTATGCATATTTTAGACAACAATTTTGTATTAAAAAGAATTTAAGTTGGATTAACTAACAAATATATATGATGGACTGGTAGGTAGTATAGATAAGCTAAGTGGCAGACTTAAGCAAAAAGAAAATAGAAGTATATGCTTAGGTTACAGAATAATTTATTTACATGCAATGACCATAAATATTGCAAACAATACTCTCTACTAATACCAGGATGAAATACTTCATGTAAAAAGCATAGCTCAATTATAGTGCATGAAAAAAATGAAATCCATGAGCATCCTGTCTGGCTTTCAAATTAAATTAGTGAGAAGGAAAATGGATTCCTCATAAAAGCAAAATATTGGATTTTATATTAAAAAAAAATGATATTCAAGCTACTTAAATGCAATTCATTTTCAGGTATGAAAGTAATTTGATATTAAAATAAGCCTTTATAGAAAATTTACTGAATATCTAACTAAAATGAAATTTTGTTGCCCATAAATAAAACCATCTATTGTAAACAAAGCCAAAAAATACCTTTATCTAAATAAACGCTTGTATAATCTTCTAAGAAGTAAATGCTACAACCAACATTTTATCATCAAATAACTATTCACTTGATCACATACCTCTGGTTGACCATTTTTGTCCAAGTGGTTAGATCACTTCTTTGCAGGCAAAAACTGTATCAAATTGAAGCCTTCAATAAATTTGATTTTTTTCATTAAATAATTTACTAAGAAAGGAATTGATAATTTGTTAAAGTAAAATGAGTCACAAAAGAAATAAACATTGAATTAAACCCGAATGACAACAGATGAAGCATAGCCACAGCTTAACAAGCAAATAAACAGAATAAAATCATCAAATGACTGATTTTGTATAATTTGGTCACAAATTAGTTTGCGAGAACAATCAAGTTGCAGTAAAACACCGAATAAGCTTTGCTTTTGGAAAACAAATCTATTCTGAAAGCAAAAAGAGTTCCAGTCTACACTAAAATAAAGATATAAGTATTCTTCCAGTTGGTTTAGATTGTATAGCATGGACTCAAAAACCTTCCATTCAATTCAAAACTTTCCATGCACATCATCACAGATTACAAAAAAAAAAACACAAACAATTTTAGAAATGTGATCAATTTGCCTCCACTCTTTAAGACCATTCATATCAAATCCTTGAAACTATTTGCACACATTAAAAAATTTAGTGTGGGGCTTGTTAAATTCTGTCTTAGGATTTGGTGCCTGGGAAACGAAAAAGAGGAAAACCAAAACAGAAGTTGAAGGATGACATAATTTTGTAGTCACCAACTAATGAGTAACAGACGCTAAATAGACTTAAACAAGATTGTAATAAATGGCAGGAAATAAGTCATGTTGGTTTGCAATCTGCCACAGACAGAAACAGTGACTAATGATGATGAAAATAAGTGGTTGAGAGGAAAATATTTTGCTGAAATAAATAATTTTTTTAATGAATTTCATTCCATTGATTTTCCTGAAATAAATAGACAATTTCACTTAGGCAGTCTAATATATACTGTGTTTTGTTTGAGTACAAGTCTCATTAGCTATGTGTGAAATATATTTATTAGCTACAAAGGCATGGCATTTCCTTTTAGAAAAATGAACCACTCAGGACACAAAGAGTTGAAATAAAAACATTAATGAAAAATTGAGAATAACTTCTGTTAGAAATTCAACACAATAAGAGCCAGTTTATAACCAAACCAGTAAATTGGACATAATTAGATTTAAATATTATCATCTATCAAATATGAGTGGAACACTTATCTGAAATACTTCTGAATCTTAAAAGGGACAAGAATATCATAAATACCCTATAAAAACAAAAAGATAAATAAAAGTAATTAAGAAAATTACAAACCTTACAGAGGATAGGCAATACTTTAAAAATACATTCAGGGTGTGGCATAAATATTTACCCATCATTTAAACATAAATTGACACCTACCTATTTGTAAAAATAGTTTCAAAATTTGCATAAGGCTTCTTAAGATTTTTTGTTTTATTGTTTGCAGTTTAATTAAATGTGGTAGCTCAAACAAAATGTGATCAAATTGTTGCAGTGAAAATGGCTGGTATGAAGAATTGTGAGGTGTTTGTAGAAAACTGTTTTTAATGTATGGAAAAAGTTTCAAGAGCAGCAAACAACTTCACCAAATCTAATTCAAGTGTTATGGTGAAAGTAAAGAGTGTCCATTTTGAATTGTAAATATATATAAAACATTGTCAATAAATATAACAATCCTCCAGTAATATTTCATTAAACAAAACCTAAAAGTATTTATAATAAAATAAATAATGGTTAAATGTATATGCTGTACTTGATACATGTATGAACAAAAGGGAAGTGTTAAAAAATTGTGTAGCTAGATGTTTGATAATATCTAGGAATAAATATCCTTTGAAGATATAATTTGACAAGATAAATAATACTGAGAAAACTTAAAATATTCTTGCTTCACAAAAAAGTAAATGAAGAGAACATTGCTGAAATATATCTGGTAGTGCTACAATTGTATTAGATAAAATTATGTGTTGCCAATAAAATATGCAAAAATAATAATAGTATAATTATTAGATTAATAAAACGACCAAGTTTATGTTTCTGGGACAAACCAACTCAGTATGTTGTTGGCTTTGAAAACAATGAACAAAAGCCTTATATAAAATCTGACTTCTTAAAATCTAAGTTTATTAGATTGCTTGAATTACAGTTGAGTAAAATATTATAAGTGTAATGAGAAATATGCTTATAGAAATGAAAAGAAAAAGAAATAAATAGAAAGTCTAAGAGTGTGTATGAGAAAAGACAATGACGAAAAAAAGATTTAAAAAATAATAACTAATAAGAATTACAGAAATGAAATTATGATAGGAATAGAATAAATAAAGGAAGAGAAACAAGATTTATCAAAGGAGAAAAATAGCTTCAGAAGTGAGAAAGAGAACTAAAGAATTATGAGATATAAGAGAGAACAAATGAAAATTGATATTGTGCTTTGTGTTGGTATGATATTTATTGTCTTGCTTCACACTGTCCAAACTTTGTATTACAAGTAACAAATTAATATTAACTAGAAGAAACATTACAAAGACAGTATAAAAAAACAAGTTTTGTTCTGCCTACAGACATTTTATATAAATTGAATATCAATATAATGAGGCTTGATAAATACCATTTTTATTATTGTGCCAAGAAAATATTTGAAAAATATATACAAAAATGATAATTCAGTGACAATTGCTAAAGCTTTGCCAAACAAATCAAAATACATGTTATTTCAGAGCAAAATTAGAATTAAGCCATTATTGACATTAGGGAAAAAATGTACAGGGTGCAATGAATAAATTGTGTAAATTACGTAAAAATGAGAATAACACTGACATCTCATTTTAACAGATATACTTACCAAAATAACACAAAAATATCTTGAAATACTAAAGAGTAAATTTATTCAATAAAACCACCATTGGTTTCAACCACAGCATCCAGATGACTTTGGAATCTTTAGAATGATCTTCTTCTTTAAGTTGGTTAATACTGTCAATCCTTGCCTTCAGTTCATCTTTGGTGTTACAAGGAGTACCCCATGCATAATAATCAAGGAGGTTGCAGCCTGTGGAGTTAGATGGTGTGGTTGCAGAAATTGTCTGATAGCCATGACTGGGTTCTCCTGTTTGTGTGACATGGTGCAGAGTCCTGTTACCAGACATAAAGTCTTCCAGCAGCCACCCTCTTGAGCCAGGGCAGCACTACTTCTTCAAGACACTTAATGTATGCCTCCGTGCTGAGTTTGAGGCCCTCACCAACAAATTTGGGAGCTTTCTTATCAGAATGATTAGAGTGAATTTTCTGAGCTGTGATACCTTTGTAATCCTCATCTAACTCTTACCAAATCCTTTGCACTGCCCTCAAATTGACCCAATCATTCTGAAATGTTCATATTGGAGCTTCTGTCATGAAAGCCATGCAGTCCAGCATGCCATTTCCAAATTTCTGATGGAGTGAATTACATTTCTCCCAACTGGCCCTACTATACTGTGATGTCAACAAAATAAAAAACAAATGTGTATGCATGAAATTAAAAATATAAAATGGCGACAATTTACCTATCGCACCCTGTATCTTCAAAATATGAGGAAAAACTCCCCCAACTCTATACTTCTAAATATAGATCAGAAATTTAAAAAAAAAAAAAGAAAAGAAAAAAAGGGGGTCTGGTGTTTTATTCTTTTTTTTCCCCCTGAAATGTAATGTTGATTTAACAATTTTAGAATGACGAAAGTTATGGTAAAAAGCAACAGAAATAAGAAGGAAGAAAGATTAGTCAAACAATAA